AGGATTTCTTTAAATTAACCTCACCGTTGACTAGACTGATGAGGAAGGGAATCAAATTTGTGTGGAATGAGACTTATGAGAAGTCATTTCAAGAGCTTAAGGTTAGAGTTACCACTACTCCAATATTGATTGTTCCGGAGAGGGGTTTGGGTTATTCAGTGTATTGTGACACGTCTTGGGAAGGTTTGGGTTGTGTCTTGATGCAAGAAGGAAACGTAGTCGTATATGGCTCATGGAAGTTAAAAACACACGAGAGGAATTATCCTACTCACGATTTAGAACTAGCAGCAGTGATTTTTGCCTTGGAGATCTGGAGGCATTACATGTATGATGAGAGGTTTGAGGTATTTTCTGATCACAAGAGCTTGAAGTATCTTTTTTCACATAAATATTTGAATCTGTGGCAGAGGAGATGGATGGAATTTATGAAGGATTACGACTTTGAGTTGCACTATCATCCGAGGAAGGCGAATGTAGTGGTTGACTCCTTGGCTAGAAAATTCATTAGCAGTGTAGCTAGTATTGCCATCCGAGAATGGGAGATGTTGGGCGCTATTGGTGAGTTTGACTTGTATCTTGGTGAGTCCGTTGAGTCGGCAGCTTTGTTTACTATAGTTGCACAACCTACACTTGTGAGCGAGTTATAAAAGCACAGCGAGACGATCACGAGGTAGAAACCATCCGGGAGAAGATATCTAGTGGGAAGGTAGAGAAGGGCATGAACATTTATTCTGACTCGAGTGTTAGATATCTTGACCGTCATTTCGTGCCGAAGTCTTGTAGGGAGGAGGTACTCCGAGAGTTTCATCATTCGCGTCTTGCGGTACACCCGGAAAGCACAAAGATGTACCACAACCTTAGTATCTAGTTTTGGCGGAGGGGAATGAAGAGAGATGTAGTCTTGTTTGTTTCGAGGTGCCTTACTTGTCAACAAGTGAAAGCCGACCATCAGTGGCCTGCGGATTTGTCGCAACCCTTGCCTATAGCCAAGTGGAAATGAGAGCATCTCATGATGGATTTTGTTATGGGTCTTTTGAAGACTCAACGAGATAATGATGTCGTATGGGTGATAGTCAACCGGTTAACCAAGTTAGCACATTTTTTACCTATACACACGAGTGACTCGATAGATTACCTTGCGGACCTTTATGTTAGGGACATAGTTTAACTTCACAGAGCCCCTGTAACTATTGTTTCGGATAGAGATCAGTGCTTCGTGGCTCGATTGTGGTAGAGTCTACAGAATGCCTTGGGCACTAGATTGACATTTAGTACTGTCTATCATCCTCAAACTGACGAGCAGTTAGGGTGTACCATTCAGATTCTAGAGGATATGCTTTGAGATTGTGTTTTTGACTTTAAGGGGTCATGGAAGAGGTACTTTCCTTTAGTGGTGTTTGCCTATAACAATAGCTTTTGGGCGAGTATTGGTATGGTGCCGTTTGAGGAGTTGTATTTCCGACCGTGTAGATCTCCTGTATGTTGGGCCGAGGTGGGTGACGTACCTATGTTAGGTCCTAAGTTAGTCCAAGAAACAACGGAGAAGGTTGCACTTATTCATAAGAGGTTGGTTTCGGCTCAGAGTCGCTAGAAAAGCTATGCCGACCGTAAGAGGAGACCGTTATCATATGAGGTAAAAGATCATGTCTTCTTGAAAATATCACCTAGACGGGGTTTGATGAGATTTGGGAAGTCTCCTAGATTTATTGGGCCTTTTGAGATTCTAGAGTGCATTAGGGAGGTAACTTATCGTTTCGCCTTGTTGCCCCAACTTTCCAGGGTTCATGGTGTGTTTCACATCAGTATGCTTTGAAAGTATGAGCCGGATCCTTCACACGTGTTGGATTGGACTGAATTAGAGTTAGATAAGGATGCCTCATATGAGGAGAGACCAGTTAGAGTTTTAGATACTCGGGACCAAGTCTTGCGAGGCAAGACAATTCTATTTGTAAAAGTGTTGTGGCGACACCATGGAGTTGAGGAGACAACTTGGGAACGTGATACAGAAGTCTGTGAGAAATATCCAGACCTTTTTGTTAATGTTTGAAAACTTGTATTGAAAATCTTGCTATGTTGGCTAAATGTAAACATTGTATATGTTTTGGAAAAGAAAATTTTATATTCAGTATTGAGAACATGTTTATCATTGATATGAGGATGAATGACCTATGGATGGGCTATGAGAATTAAAATTTAAACGTTGTTGTTTTGATTTTAAAATTTCAGGGATAAAATTTCTTAAGGGGGGAGGTTATAACGATTCTGGTTTAGACCCGACCCGTTTATTATTTTGGATCCGAGTTTCCCTGTCCTTAATAGTTGTCCATGTCCTTGTTCATCTTATTCCTTGTTGAATTAGGTTGTGTGAACATTGTGGTTGCGTTTGAAATAGGTTGGGAGTTCGTTTTTCAAAGAAGTCATTTCCCAGATTTTGGTCAGTTCTCTCGAGCGATCCTTTGGTTGCTCGAGCAGTCTTTGAGAACTTCTAGTATATTTATAGGTCTATAAATATACTAGGAGGGTGGTGTTTTTTGTTCGAGCAATGTTTCTTGCACTCGAGAGCGCTCGAGCGATCTTGGCTCGAGTGGTTAGCCTCGGTTTGCAAAACTTCTAGAGAGTGTCATTGTGCGATCAAGCGGTAACTTTGTTCGCTCGCGTGAACGGATTTTGCCCTAGAATCTTGAATATTTGATTTTGTAAAAATAAAAGGGAAACGATGTTGGGTTTTGTGAAATTGGTGATGATAATGAGGATGGTGGAGTTAGATATGTATTATTACTCCTATCTAGAGATTTTTGAAAGAATATCTTTAATTGAAATTATCTGTCTATTTAGAGATATCTGTTTTGGGCTATCAGTGAAGGATAGCTATGATTGTTGTAGAAATTGCACGAGGATTAGGTGAATTGAAACTAATTTTTCATCCATTTGCATTGAGCATTGTTGCATACTTAACACATCAAAAATGTATATTGTTTTGAGAAAAATGGGTGAATACCTTGGTGAATCTAGGTAAGGGGTGTGGTTGTGATATTATGTTGGTCTGTGTATCCTTCGTGAAAGTCCAAAAACCCGCGTGGTTAGGTACCGAGCCTTCTGGTTAGTATTGGTAAAAATGGTCTTGGTAGTGTTTGTATAGCCAACTAGCAAACACATGCCTAAAGATTCCTAGTGCTTATAATCACTACCCTATTTTCTGTTGTAAAGAAATGTTTTTAAGAATTGTGATATAAACCTGGCATTGCATGGTTTTGGAAAGAGATATAAAATATTTTAGCACGAGCATTGTATATGCATTCACCTTATAGCTTTGCTAAGATTCATACACTTTGTTAGAGTATCTCTATTGGGTTTTGGCTCACCCTATGTGGAAAACCATTTTCAAGTGCTGATGATATGCCACCGCCAAGGCCGTAGCTTGGGAGGACTTGGAGCCAAAAACCTTTTTTTGTTATTGTTGTAATTATTTTTGTACAAGCTTAAGGGTTAAACTATATTGAGTTAAAACTCACTTTTGTTATAACCATGCATCGTCTTGAAAAGTTATAGCCATTACGGCATTTATTTATCTGTTTAACTTTTATTTCAAATCTTTAACTTGTGGTACATGCTATAGGTTCAAGGTTTGGACTTATGAATGTGTAACTACATGTTTTACCTTTTGTACAATGGAATCATATGAATGGAAGATAATTATTTCGGCACGTATTGTTATTTAATTAATATCGTGAGATGGTTTTATAGTTATATTTTTCTGGGCGTTACATATTTTTTACCAAAAGAAACCAAAAAACTTATTGATGTAGTGAATTGTTTGAAATTATTGAATTGTTATCTTCCAAATGTATAGATTATTTATAGAATACGATTGACTATACTACTTATAGTTTCTCTTTTCAAATTAAAGTTGATTAAATCTTACATTTGCTCAACTATGTTAAATGAAATATTAAATGGATTAGAAATTTTATCCATCGAAAATGATTTAGCTTATAAGTTGGATTATGCGAACTAGATTAGTAATTTTACAGCTAAAAGTGCAAGAAGAATGATATTTAAGTGATTTTTGTTAAATTTTATTTATTTTTTATTTGATAATTTAGTTTAGATTTTTTTTGGTCATTTTTCTCATTGTAAATTTTAGTAGATGTATATTGGAAGTAACATTTTCACAATGACTGTCAAATATCAAAAAAATAACAATAATAATAATTAGGCACATAATTATTATTATTTTTTAAATATGTATGAAAAACCCCATGTTGAAAGTTCGCTTTGGGTCCCGAAAAAGTCAGAGTTGGCCCTGTGCTTTGGATAATCGAGATGAACCCAAAATGGGTTGGACTAAATCGTCTAGTTCAAAGACTGAACTGGAGACAGTCTAGTCCCTAAATTAAATGGGTTAGGTTTCTCTCAAGTTGTTTTGAACTTCATAGAATTGTTTGGGTTCATGGGGCTAACCATAAGACTTGTTTCGATAATTCGAATTGTTCATTTTGTAAGACCCTTCGTATATATCAATCAAGAAAAAAAAATAGATTAATTCAATAATTATAACTTTTTTATTTTATCGTATATATCTCCAAAAAAAAAAAAAATGAATAACAAATGTGTTGTTCAAAATAAACTATCTATATATATTTTTTATTTTTTTTTACTTACCAAAAACTATCTATTTTTTAGAACAAACGCTATAAAATGAAAATGCTATAAGTATCAATTCAATTCAATTTAATTTTTTAACCATGATATAAATAGGAGTCCTATAAAATTAAACTTGATCCAAACTAATAAATAACCAATCATTCATACCTTCTCATCCAAAACATAACAAATGTAATTGTTTTGTAACAAATGCCTCCATTTTTTTTTTTAATAGATGCCAAGTAGAAAGGATTACAAAAGGACACCATTTCTTTGATAGCGGTCTGTGGCTGGAATTTAATGTCAAACTCCCCCAGTTCTATTGCCCACTTTGCTATTCAACCCAAGAAATTAGCTCAGTTGAACACTGACTTGAGAGGATACTCAGCAAGGACATTGATGGTGTGCCCTTGGAAGTAGTGAGCAAGCTTCCTAGAAGTGATCAGTAGAGCGTATGCCAAGTTCTCCAGTGGCATGTATCTGAATTCGACATCTAGTAGGGTCTTGCTAACGTAGTACACTGTCTTTTGTTCCTTCCACTCTTCTCTGATCAGGACTGCACTTACAGCAGGATCAGAGACAGCCAAGTAGAGAAAGAGTTGGGGATTGGAGTGGACAGAAGAGGAGGGGAAGAAAGATACTTCTTTAGTTCTGTAAGTGCTTTGGAGCACTGGTCTTTCCACGCGAAGCTGGCCTTCTTCCTTAGAAGCTGGAAAAAGGGCCTCATCTGATTAGAGGAGCGATTAATAAAGCGGTTCAATGCTGCAACCATGCTACAACCATGCTAGTGAGCTTTTGGAGTTCCTTAGCCTTCATAGGTGCTTCAATGTCTTGGAGGACTTTGATTTGGTCGGGGTTGGCTTCAATGCCTTTTCTGGTCACCATATACCCCCAAAACGTTCCTGAACCTACCTTGAACACACACTTTGAGACGTTCAAGCGATGCTTGTGGGTCTTCTAAATTTGGAACACCTCCTCCAAGTCTCTCAAATTTTGTTTGGCCAATTTACTCTTCACTACCATGTCGTCTATATAGGTTTCCATAGTCTTACCTAACTAGTTTGTGAACATTTTGGTGACCATCCGTTGATAAGTCGCACCAACGTTCTTCAAGCCGAAGGGAATCACCTTGTAGCAGTAGGTGTCCGTTGGATTAATGAATGTAGTTGCCTCTTGATCAAGGATGAACATGGGGATCTGATGAAAGCCACTGTAGGCGTCCAAAAACCTCATCTGTTCGTGTCAGAAACAGAGTCATATTCATATTCGTATTCAAATCATGTGTGGCACATCCATTAGCATTAACACATCTCTTGGATCAAGCATATCAAGTTCCATAATGAAACCTTCGGTACCAAGTAACATATCTCATACGTGGGCCACGGTATTGTTTCCCCCAGGCGAGGGTCTAGACCACGATATTATTTCCCCCGGGTGAGGGCCTCATGACCATAAGCCACAATATTATTTCTCCTGGGTGAGGGCCTTTGCTAAGGATACCATATAGCCATTTCAAAGAATTGGATCATCATTCATATAATCACAATATAACCTTTTGTATCATTCGGAAACAGTTCATATCGTTTTATAATGTTCAGAAAGTATTTCATATCGAACATTGCTTTACTAAGTTATTACTCACAGATAGTTTCACAAATAGCTTTGATAGCAAACCAATGGATCAATAGCTCACGGCGCGTGACCAACACAAACATAACAGATACACATTTAAACACACACTTGGATAGTACTTAACTTATTTTGTTTCGTTCTTAGTGTGTTTCTAAGTCTTATCCTCATTATTGTGTTTTAATTAGAGCTCAATAATGCCAAAGATGCAATGACAATGCCAAAATGTACTTTAAAATACTTAGTCAAATTTTTGAAAACAGGGTCTTCTCTCTAGCGTAACTTCCTTCACTTGAGCGAAGGTTCAAAAATAGAGGTGGTCGCTCAAGCGCAACTTAAGTCACTCAATCGGTCTGTAAACTCTGATTTTTTTGCGTGACGATCACTTAAGCGTGAGATTAAGGTCTTTGCTCGAGCGCAACTTTGGTAGCTCGAGCGGTCTGCAAAATTCGTAAACTTCTGAGAGCATGCATTTTATGCTCGAGCCAACTTTTTGTCGCTTAAGCGAAAGTGCAAAATAAAGAGTGGTTGCTCCAGCGCAGGTTCTGTCGCCCAAGCGGTGAGGCAAAATTCTGGAATTTCTAGATCTGTTCCCAAGCTCAAAACTCGAATTCAAAGCCTTAAAACACAACCTTTGGGCCCCAAAACTTGAGAAAACATGTTTAAACTTATAAAACATCAAGAATTAAGATCATTTTACAAAATCAAGGCCCAAGAGTAAGTGAATTATTCAAAACAAACTTGAATTATATGTATACATATCATACATGTGTTGTTATGAACTCAAACCTTCCAAAACATGTACAAATGGATTGTTAAAGTGCAAAACCACAATGAGCTCCCATAATAGAACAAAAATAAGCCCTTGCATGTAAGAATTTGTCGAAATCCAAACTCAAAATCCATGAATTATGCGTGCATGTATAGTATGACTTAAATTCTTTGTTTCCTAGCTCAAATCTCATAGTCAAAAACCTCTTAAATCTATGCATTAGTTGGCTCAATTACATAACTAAAGGCTTGAATTTTTACCTTAGGTGTTCAATTGAACTCTAGGTGGCTAATTGTGTGAGTTTCCAAGCTAATTCTTCCAAATTCTCTCAAATTCTTTCACCTTCCTAGCAATTCCCCTTAATTAAGCTCAAGTCTCCTCTTTCCCTCTCTCTCACGTTTGTCGCTCAAGGATGATAAAATGGGAGTGTGAGTGAGGTTCTAAAATCAACTTAAGCCTTATATAGGCTTGATTAGTGGTGATTAATTAAACTAGGCTTAAGTTAACTAATTTATATTATTTAATTCTAATTAAGTCGTTCCGAGTTGAATTTCAATTAAATAGACCACAAGGTTCTAAAAATTCTAAATAATACATAAACCAAGTCAATTTCGTGATCAGATGTCGATATGGACTTCAATTCGCAGAACAAAACATAAATGCAAATAGATATTCCTATGGTAAACAGAAAAATAATGCAACACACATGCAATTAATTCAGAATTTCTTCTTAATTACTTATTAGGCATCCTTAATCATGTTTTAACAGTTAATCATAGGTCGGGGTTGTTACAGTCTTCCCCCCTTAAAGATTTTGGTCCTCCAAACTCGATTTACCTTCGTTTTAGTAGAATATCGGATCTAAAGGGAACAATTCAGGGTATCTCGTTATCATATCTTCTTCAATCTCCCAAGTTGCATAAGTCTCTTCGTGGTTTTGCCAATCAACCTTCACTAATTAAATTTCTTTATTTCTCAGTCTTTTGATTCGGCGATTCACAATTTGAATTGGCCTTTCTTCATATGTATAGTCCTCCTTCAAAAGCACGTATTGGCTTAATAACATGTAATGGATCTTTCAAATAATACCGAAGCATTGAGACATAAAAAACATGTAATGGATCTTTCAAATAACACTACAAGAAAAAACACTTTCCGTGACCAACATTTTGGTCGCGAAAAGTACTATATTTGGTCGCTAAAACCTTTTCGCGACCAAAATATGTTGGTCGCGAGTTGGTCGCTAAAGCCTCGTCACAGATAGTTTTCTGCGACCAAAAAAGCTTTTGGTCGCTAAAAGTGACCATTCGCGACCAACTTTTTTGGTCGCGGAAAGTCCAATTCATATTAGCCAAAAGTAAACTTTTAGCGTCCAAAAATAAGTTGGTCACCAAAAGTCAGCACCTTGACCCAAAAAAAATAATTCTTTTGTGCTCTTTGGGACTTAAACTCCTGACCAAGGAATCACCATGCACCCAATCCATTCTGCCACTCTGCCAATAACATACTTCTTGTTCATATTTGGCAAAAAAAATATATAACCTATAAAAATTGGGTTATATATATTATTTTATAAAACTTTTAATGCCTAAATAGAAAAATAGCATGTAATTACTGTAATATCATTTTTTTTAAAATTTATCCCGCCATAACTTTCCGCGACCAACTTTTTTTTTTGGTTGCCAAAGGGTAATCTTCCACGACCAAAAAAGCCTTTGGTCGCCAATAGCATACTTTCCGCGACCAACTTTTTTTTTTGGTCGCCAAAGGGTAATCTTCCGCGGCCAAAAAAGCCTTTGGTCGCCAATAGTATACTTTCCGCGACTAAGCTTTTTTTTTTGGTCGCCAAAGGGTAATCTTCTGCGACCAAAAAAGCCTTTGGTCGCCAATAGTATACTTTCCGCGACCAACTTTTTTTTTTGGTCGCCAAAAGGTGATTTTCCGCGATCAAAAAATTGTGGTCTCCAAAAGTTAAATTTTAGTCGCAGAAAGTGGACTATTTGCGACCAAAAAAAATAGGTGGTCGCCAAAAGTGTTTTTTCTTGTAGTGTAATTATGGTCCCAACAATGGTCTATCACCTACCTCAGCCCAGCAAATCGGAGATCGGCACTTCCTGCCATATAAAGCGTCATAAGGAGCCATTCCAAGACTTGAATGATAACTGTTATTATATACAAACTCAGCCAGAGGGAGGTAAGTTTCCCAATTCCCTTGGAAATCTAGGGCACACATACGTAACATATCCTCGAAAGTCTGATTGGTTTGTTCAAATTGGCCGTCTGTCTGTGGGTGGTAGGCACTACTCAGTCGTAGTTCAGTTTCCAAAGCCTATTGTAAACTCTGCTAGAATCTTGATGTGAACTTCGAATCTCTATCAAATACAATGATACTGGCACACCATGCAATCTCACAATCTCATTCACATAAATGTTAGCTAACTTATCTGCATTATAGAAAGTTTTAACAGGCAGAAAATGGGCAGACTTAATTAATGATCAACAATAACCCAAATAGAGTCCATACCTCGAAAGGAGCAAGGCAATCCAACAATGAAGTCTATTATGCTCCCATTTCCATTCTGTTATTGGAAGCGGTTGAAGTAACCCAGCAGGTTGTTGATGTTCAACTTTAACTTGTTGGCAATGCAAACATCTAGCGACAAATTCGGCAATACTTTTCCTTATTCCAGGCCACCAAAAATTCTGTTTCAAATCATGGTATATATTTGTATTCCCCGAATTCATAGCAAATTTCAAGTTATGAGCTTCGGTCATAATACGTTTCCTCAATTCTGAACAATTCGGTACACAATGTCTACCCTGAAATTTCAACACATCATTTGCAATCACAAAGCCTAGCCTCGGTTTCCAGTCAATATCATTCACAATCTTCTTCAAAAGTTCATCCTTCAATTGCCTTTCTATAATTTCTTCAAGTGTGGTAGGTTGTGCAGAAATCACAACTAAGACTCTACCTTGTTCACGCAACACAATTTCAATCTCATTCCTTTCCAAGTCACATAACAATTCTTTCTAATTAGTGAGTAAACATGACAAATTCCCAATTGATTTCCAGCTCAAAGCATTTGCCACTGTATTTGCCTTCCCCGGATGGTACAAAATTTGCAAGTTATAGTCTTTGATCAATTCAAGCCATCGTCTCTGTCTCATATTTAATTCCTTCTGAGTAAAGAAATATTTCAAGTTTTTATGATCAGTATACACTTCACAAGTTACTCCATACAAATAATGGCGCCAGATTTTCAGTGCAAAAACCACAACTGCAAGTTCAAGGTCATGGGTCGGATAATTCTTTTCATATGGTTGGAGTTGAAGAGAAGCATACGCAATTACCATCCCATTTTGTATTAACACACCCCAAGCCTTTGTATGAGGCATCACTATAAATTTGAAATCCATCAATACCATTAGACAAAGTCAGAATTGGTGCAGTTACCAACCTAGTCTTCAGTTCTTGAAAGGTTGACTCCCGCTGATCGTTCCAATCAAATGGCATATTTTTCTGTGTCAACTATGTTAATGGCATAGTAAGTTTTGAAAAGTCTTTCACAAACCTGTGATGGTAATTTGCAAGTGCCAAAAAGCTTTTGATTTCTAACACATTGGTTAGTCTAGGCCAGTCTACAATAGCTTCAATTTTCTATGGGTCCACTGATATACCATCATTGTTGATCACATGTCCCAAAAATGTCACATAATCTAGCCAGAATTCACACTTAGACAGTTTTGCATACAACTTCCTTTCTCTCAAGATCAGTAAGGCAGTTCTCAGATGATTCTCATGTTCTTCCCTCCTTTTGAACTAAATCAG